ACTTGTTTTCAAAATAATGTATATATATATATATTCAAACCAGTGAAACTAATGTACAACAAATTCTTTACACTATAGAGATTATAGGCGTATCATAAACACTACATATAGTTCTCTTCTTCTTGTCAAAAGTCCACTTAAGTCTATTCAGTTGCTTTAGAATTTCAGTTGACAAACCAAACTACCTTTTTCTGTTTCTATCGCACTACTATTATATGTATAATTCACTTACTCTGCCTTGTTGAATTACTGCAGTTGTATCCTGAACTTCCTATGCTCATCTGCTTTTTCGTAATTAGGCCTACTTCCAATAATCATCTGCTTTTTGTCAAAGTCCACACAGGCAGGTTCAATTGCTTTAGAACACCCCTTGACAAGACAGATTATTCTCCTAAAGTGTCAGAAAACTGTTAATCTCACTTTAACATATCAAATGTTAGGCTATTCACTCCTACGACAGTTAACTTTACATTTTCTGGCCTTTCCTTTGGCTGCACTCCTACTTCCAGTAACTTTTCTTTCTCACTGCTCTGTCTGTCTGCTCTTTTCCACTCTTCTCACACTATTTATATGTTTATCACTTAATCGTCTGCGCACTATATCCTTGACATCAATACATTTCATGTGACATTCAATAATCTTGACATCAGTGAGTTATAAACACAATGTAAGACTTGCCATTTTATGTAACTAAACTTGTCATAACATTTAATTTAAAGTAATTGCTTCTAACTCTCTTGTTATGAACAAAACTAAACAATCATAAAATATTCACTCACAAAATAAATTAAGAAATAACATCTACACTAAACAGTCTTTTATACCATGACACAGTGATGGTTAAATACAACTGAATATTGGATTACACCATAAATTTGGAAAGGATCACAGAATATGAAATGAAAGAAAATTGGCAGTACAAATATAAAAGAAATTCAATTATAAAGCCCCGGGCATCCATATTGGGAAGGTATCCAACGCAAAGAGTCGAATCGAATAGTAGAACCCTTTCCACCCTTCCCCAAGGTCTTAGGTACAAGGCCCCGGGCATCATAGAACCTCTGCACGCCACTGGATTGATTGTTCTAGATTACAACTCATAAATCTGCATATACGAGTACCAAAAAGTATGAATTAAAAAAATTAACACCAAGCTACTAATAGAATAAGAAGTAAAATCTGCTAATAAAAATGCTAAATATATAATTTATTTTCAGGCACACTGTGCTTCTCTAGTAAGAGTTAGAAACACAAAACTGACATTTTTTGGCAAATGAAAGGTAAAACCTTTATTGTTAGTTACGTCCAACTTGTTTTGGTACCACAGTTACCATCGTCAAAGGTACAATGTTAGCTTAACATATATACAGCCCTGATGATGGTAACTTTGTTACTGAAACTAGTCAGTTCTAACTATAATAAAGATTTTGCCTTTCATTGTGCCAAAAAAAAACTTTATTTTTTTGTGCTTTTTTACTTTTAATATGCTAAATATACTCAGTATTCAGTTTTTATTTAAACCAGTTCTGTGCTATCATATATTACTCTAAGTTCTAGCTACAGACCATGGAATGGAACCTATTAATGGTAAATATCACTGTATTATTAAATTTTTGTCAGTTCATCAACATTGTATTTCATGCTTTTAATTATAACAAATACAAGATAATGCATGTGAGTTATCATAATTTAAAGTATAAATGTATTTTTGATGGGAATAACCTTAATGATGTCAGTGAAGTGTTGGAAAGGGTTCAAATATTGCTAGTACTAGAATGATATCTAGGATGGAAAGATTGTCATATAATAGTAATTAAGATTTCTGAAGTTGTTTTCTCATGAAAACAAAGAGTTAGAAGAGATCTGATTAATGTGTTCAAGATTATTAAGCAACTGATAGTGCAGCATCTTTTTTTCATATTTAATGGTGAAAATTGTAGGACCCATAAATTTTGGCATGGGTAGGAGTTATTTTCAACTTGTCCCCCTATGGGACAGCAGTAACTCTACAGACTTACAATGCTAAACTCTATTGGGTTTGATTCCCTGCATCCTCAACTTAGGTAGTTTTACTTTTCTAACTGGGTGGCTATTTTTTGGAATGGGTTGATTTTAGATGTGGTGGATGCAGTATATCAAAGGATATGCTCAATAAATATTTAAATGATCAGGAGTGGATTAAAGTTATTTTTTTTTTAGGTGGATGGAACACCCTTAGTATACCAACAGGCACCTTGTTCTTAAATAGTTTTACACCATAATTTTGTCACGCAAAAAATGTAGCACTTATTTTAATCTGCACTGTATTCACACATTACTTTTGGTGATGAAAACACCACTTTATTAACCTAATAACTGTATCTGCTAATATTTTGCTAGAAAACATCTATTAGAGACATGTATCTAATTATTTGTATGTAAAGAGATGATTTTTTTTTAGTTTTTCTCATTGTACAAACAGACTGATAACACTGTTAATAAGAACTGAGAGAAAGTAAAGAAATGCATATAATAATATATCAACCACACTATATCTGGTAAATCCAGTGGTAATAAGGCCTTTCCCAATAACAGGACTCTTCAGGCCAGCTGGGATATGACAGATATTATAGTGGTTATGATGTTATTTATACTTCATTATTAAGATCCTCTCTCGTTGTAAGCTTGATCACTAAGGTCCTTTTAACTTCTCTCATTATATATTATTAATTTTTCCTGAAATTTTGTCATTCTATACTTAATTATTAAAATTCTCTTACTATGTTTTATGTTCCACAGATATATTAAACAAACGTTTCTTCTCACATTGAATCATTTCAATCCTGACTTGTTCATATTTTTGGGAGACAACATGGATGAAGGGGATGTGGCAACTGATGATGAATTTAAAGAATATCTAGAAAGATTTATCAGAGTATTTGAACCTGTAGACTTCAGTAAAAAGGTAGATAAATATTTGTGTATTTTATTTACTACCATATCAACACAGGATAAAGATAGAATTAAACCAAAACACACAATTTTGTTCATACGTTCTTATGGTCTATCAGATATCTGTTAGTAGCCTAATATGCAAACAGAAGATGCTGTCTGTTTCGTTACTTGTATTTTGTCACTAATGTGATAATTTAAAGGTGTCTATTTTCTTTCTTTTATGACCATAGTATGGTGAAAAATAAATGTAAATAGCCTGTTGCTGTTATTAAAATGCTGTAATTTATGTTATTTCTATTTAGTAGTAAATTATATGCTTAATGTTCGTTATTTTAAGAAAAAAAATCTATTTTTGCTAAACCTGTTTTTTAAGTACCTCAAATTAGTAATGTGTAATATTTTTAGGATCTTTTTTTATTGCTAGCATTTTCAAACATATTTATTAGTACAATAGACAACTGTGAGTGAAACAGTTTTTATGTAGAGGTCATTTACAGATTGTGGAAGTACAAATTATCTGCCATTTCTTTGCAAATGTTTGAATATTTCTAGAACTATGGCTGTGGGGTAACATCAAGATTATTAATAAATGCTCTAACAACTAATAAAACTAAAAATGAAAAGAATATATATATATATATATATATATATATAATAAAACTAAAATGAGATTCCAT